ACACACACACACACACACACACACACACACACTAGGTGGGGCAGGCTGCAAAGGAAGTGAGCGCTCAATAGGAAGTTGAGAGCAGGCTAAACTAATTCTGAACAAAAACAAAGATTGGACCCACTGAACAGTTATTTCTGGATTACAAAAAACATTTCATTAGCATGAAGCTTCACTCCTTTATGCTCGATAATAGATTTATATACAAAACGGATGGAGCCTCCTCTACATACTCTGTGTTCATTTCGTCCATTTTTGGGTCTTCTGAGAGCTTGCAGATACAGATGAAACAGAGCAGTACCACTGGCAATCATTGGGGGGCAGTGTAGTAAACTGTTCAAGCGAGATGACCATAGAACACAAGTAGGACATTTATACAATGACAGAACTTATTTTAAGGAGAAACTTTAAGAGTTGGTAAGAAACTACCGTTCGACATGTTTCTTGTCAGAAAGTCTAGACTCTGTGCTGCCCTCTAGTGGATGTATTGCTTGACAACAATGCCAATGTAAAAGGGCACATGAAGGTAAGTAGGCAGTGACGGTTACATTGTTTGAAACAGATGTATCATTTCATAAATGAGCCTTTAGTCATTAGTTGATACTGACCAGATCTCAGCCAGGACAGACGGGGGCAAGCCAGACTGGAGGAAGAACTTCCTCGCTTGTTCTCCTGCAGATGGACAAAGAAGAATCACCAGGGTTTACAGAGACAGACATTTGATACAGGTAGCTCACTGATGACAGTTCAAGATGTTACTCATAAACAAGCACTTTGTCTGTTTGTTATGACCACAGCCTACCTGACACATAGCCAAGCACGTGGGTGAGGGTATCAAACTGTTTATCGTGTTTCCCCCTCTCCTCTGGAGTGATGGCCCACACACTGGCTCCACCTGGACAAAAGCAAGAGAGAAGGCAGACTTTTGAAAAGTTTTAAATTTCCATGCATCAAACCGGATTGTGAGAGCATCTCACGTCCTGAAGTTGGTGTAAATTCTGCTTTTATCTTTATTTTGTAATAACATCACATAGAAGAATGAACCACAGGGCTCCCCAGTAACTGACTGGTTAAGAGGCATGCCGCATAACCACAGCATCTATGGATCGAATTTGGACTGTTTTGTTTTCACATCTTACCCCAATTTTATCTCTAGTCTCTGTCCCAACTCAACTGTGGAAAAACAAGAAATGCCCGAAAAATAATCTTTAAACCCCCTTCCCAAGAACAAGGGATGGGAGGGTGAATACTGTGGATGAAAAAATAAGTCAGTTTTTATATAAATCTGTGAGAGAATGAGCCAAATTCTCTCTTGATTTATAATGTCAGTAATTATTTTAATACAGAGTTTATGGTCTTAATCGCTAGTTTAAAGTCTTACTCAATATGTCATACATCATGTTCATTTTTTAAACGATGGTCCTATTTAGAGTTAAATAGGTGATAAAGCTTAGTAGGCATCAGAGCATGGGTGTGATTGACAGCTTGACTATCCAATGGGTGCAGGTCGTAGGTGTAGGTGGACTTGCAGTGTCCTCTCTGTAATATGGTACTGGTTTAAAAGAACCAAGATGGTTGCCTGCCAAAATTCCGAACTCAAGGCTTTTAAAACTGCAGTTCACAAACCAATGGGTGATGCCACAGTGGGTTGCCACTTGGGACATAGATCAGAGTGGGGGACCAACCAATCAACCGATCATTCACCCAACTGTGTGTGAACAAAGAAGAACTTGAACCAATATAAACTTATAACAAAGATACAATCTAACACATGCACACACACACTGTACACACAATACAACACTGCTATAATATTCAATGTCAAAAGATGCAACTGGTGCAAATACAAGAAAATCTCACAACCTTAATAAATGCTACAATATTATTTGTAAGAAAATATTCAATATTAATGGGGAAAGCTCAACAATTTTACACCGTCATGTTTTTAGCTGAGCTTGACCCCCAAATCCACAGAAATCCAGCAACATTTCAAGTCCCCAAAGAGGAAATGCTGATACCAAATTCAGCTAAGTCTCTTTTTTTCAACTCACCCTCCAAAAAGTCTGCATAATTTCCATCCCAAATAAGATCTCCCCCGCAGATGAAACCACTCTTTACCAACTCCCGACAACGATTCATGTATAAAAGTGTACAGTCAGCTTTTTTTGCACTCCGCACGCATCTTGCATATCTCAAGGTAAGTTCAGGGTTGGCCATTAATTAAATATAAAGTCAAATGTGCTGTGGGGGGTGAGGCTCAGTTCTTACTCAGTTTCATGAGACGTCTTAAATAGAAGGGGGAGCTGATAATCAATTAACCATGATGGAATCCATGAAATTAATCAAATCATAGCACAATCAAGGGCAAACTCAAAGACTCGTCCTTCACTGCTTTAACTTCACAGCCATTTTAGAAGATAATTGACTGTGTGGACACTATGCACAGATGGATCTGTCCATATGGCAGCAATTGAATGACTAAGACGAAGATAAGGAGACAAAGACAGATAATGGGCGCAGGCAGCGGAGGAGAGTGATGCACAATAGATGAAGTTACACCAGAGTTACAAAGTGACGGATTCGTTTATCAACTGTAAACCACATCCAGAGAGCTCTCGTGCAGCTCACTTCAACCACCTCGTCTTTCTCTGCTTGACAGCGACAGACAGGCCTCCCAGATGCCACCGGTTGTCGCCATAGGAACCGCAGCGGCAACGCCGTCAAGCAAAATGTTTACACAGACTTTTCTCCATAGTGTTGATTGTGTTATTTAAGTTCTATATCATTATAAGCCCACCATTTAATAATTAACAATTAACAAAGAAGTAACTAGTTTTACGAAATTGAATTGAACCCAAAACTGATCTGTGACTTCAGGGAAAGATGTTAGCAGAAAATACTGAATATTAAATCATTAAAGGAGTGTGTATTATTCATTCTACAACATCTTTCTATGATAAATGTAAAGGAAAGGAATTAAACAAAGGAAAAGATGACTGCAAAGCAACATTATTCTCACTGTGGAAGGTTTTTCTCATCATATCAAAACAGGGCAAAAATTAACATTACAGATCTTAACTGGACCAACTCAACAAATGTTATGTGGCCTTGGTTATATAAATAAGACACGCACATATTCTAAAATATAATATTCACTGTTGAGCCATGAGAACTGTAAAACAGTGTAGCCATTAATAACAACTCTGACTCAGATTCTTGTAAAAAAAAACATGATTCTCTTTTTTCTGATTTCTGTTACATGTGTTCATACAGAAAGACAGAAAGCTGTGCAATAAGTGAAATATTATAAATGAAGAAAATCAAATACTTAAGAATGTGTCAATGGGTGTGTGTCTTTATAGACCCGGTATCCATGCTGTAATTTATTCACCCGCTTCAGGAAATACCACCCTGCCCATGATGGCACTTCCTCCCCAACACTAACCCAAACAACCCTCTGGCTCTTGTTGACCACACACACACACACACACACACACACACAC